CTTTTTTGCATCACATGTAAGAATGTACTACTGTTCTCATTAAGCTCCAGAATTATAATTAAGAGTGGTAGAATAGATATCCCTGATATGGGAACATCAGTGTGAAAGTACCTCTAGCAAACTGAAGCCAAGGAAGTATATTTCTTTTCCTGTGGCAAGTTTAGTGAAAGAGCATGCATGCCATCTTTGGCTAATTGTCTAGAATACTATTGACAATTCAATTGATTCTCCTCTGTCTCTTTTTTAGAAATGCAAAATTCAGAAAAATGCTGACTTAATGAGGCATTAAGGCATTAAACATTGCTACCAAGGATTTTTTGCTTATTCCAAAGCAAAAAAAAAAAAAAAAAAAAGAGGTTACTGGTTTGGCCTTTTTGTGACTAGAGATCCTTTGAGTATCCCAGACTATCCACTTTTTTGACACCTGTTTGAAGACTCTACACATATGAACCCTATATGATTTGAGAAGGCAGAAATAATTCCCTCACCTATACCTTTATACATACATACATATACAGTACATACATTTCCCTCACCTATACCTAAATAAATAAACAAACTAACGTACAGGTGAGGGAATTATTTCTGCTTTCCCAGATCAGGGAGATGCAAAAAGAAATGCTGGGGTTGGGGGTAGAAACGGGGGGGGGAACCTGTCTATTCATCCCCCCCCCCATATTAGTTGACTACTTTGCATGGAACGACTGCTCTCCTTCCTGTTTTTAAAACTAAGACAAATTATTTTCTATGTATAGTTACAAAGAGGATGGTCTACTTACACCAATGTCATCCACTAGCATTTTATCCAAGCCAACTGGACCCAGTGAACTCTTTACAATATTGGCAATCGAAGCAGCAGCTGTAACTGTTTCAACAAAACAAATTTTTCCCCTCATAAACAGAGTTGTTTCCTAAAATTTTAACTTGTACAATTCAGGTGCTAAACATATGCATTTATTTAAATATTTTAAAGATAGCAAATAGTTCTGGGCAATAAAACCAGCAATTATTTTGTTTAGGGTTTAACTACTATCTCATTTACACACAAACATGTTTTGCAGTTGAATTTGAATACAAACTGTATGCAGTAATTTACATAAAGCAGATGCTTTATACACTGGTTGCAGTTTGTGATTCAGCCATTCAGCTTATTATAAGCAAAATATAGTCCATTATGAAGACTTTATGCATATTTTTAGGTTCTTTGCATTATCTACACAATGAACAGACTAAGGAACAACATGAACCAGTCCTAAAAGTACTGTATTTGTCTTTGTAATGCTTTGTTCTGCCATTTCATATAGAAAGAAGCTGATATTCATTCTTCTCCATCAGACTATGACAGACTTTTATTTATCCCATGAGGATTATCTCTTATTTTGTAGCGCAAATAAGAGGCAGTACAATGGGACAAGTCTAACTCCTAGCAATTTCTTCTTAAGCTGATTTTAACAAGAGATACATATGCCAATTCAGTAGATTGAAATATAACAGCATCCCTTTTTTAAAAAAAAATATCTTTCATATATACTCTCCAGTGATACTTATTATGAAAATCTATATCAAAAGAAATAGTCACTTAACAGTGTAACAAGAGATGCCTAAATGCATATTGGCACAGGATCCAGACTGAAAGAGAAATTTACAGAAGTTTACAGAAATTTTCATTTCTAACATATGATCTGTTACTACTTATAAGTAAAGCAGTGTCTCTTAGTACAGCTTGGCTCTTGGTGACCACATGAAAACATCTATGTGGTTTGCTTAACAACACAAAAGTGGTTTGCCATTGTCTTCCTCCATGAAGTTTGACTTTATAACTTTAACTAGTTTACAACCCTGAGATTTATTCAGAGTTTCCCATCCAAATGCTAATCAAACTGAATCCAGTAGTTATTTTCAATAACAGCCAGTTCTGCATATAACAGGAGCAGAATGCACGGAGCATAGATATTTAAGTGGAAACTGTGGCAAAACCCTTTACAGGCCAGTAGTCCTTCGGAAATAAAGATATGTTTAATTTAAATGCCTCTGTAACTTCAACAACAGAAGAACTAACGTTCTTTATGGGGTATTTTGGCAGGACACAAAATGTCTGATTCTGAAAAAACGAAGATTTAAAAGTTAACACAAAAATGCTTCAGCTATCAAATTTACTTTTAAGCAGCTGAATATATTCGCTATGTTTTCTACAGCAATTTTAAAATGCTCGTAAGCTACTGATAACATATCTTCCCCAAAAGCAACTCTGCATCTACATAGGATTAACAATGCTGCTTCTCAACCGTCAGCGTACTATACGGAAGCGATCCAGCCTCTAAACCCCAGTCACTAAACTACTAATTCATATGGGACGTGACTGAAGTTGAGAAGTTCTCTCACGTGGGAACAGAGAACATTGTTGTATTTCAGTTGCAGCGCGGAGACAGAATCTGTTCCCAGTTATCTCAGGTCTACGCGGAGCACAGCCAGAACTGGAACAGGAGAGGATCGTATTGCTCCTGATGCGACCCCTCATTCCTCTTCTCCCTTCCCGGCGACTTAAGAGGCGCCACAACCCTTCTTTCCTTTGACGTTAACAAAACACGTGCTACCTGCTGGCAACCATTGCTTGCGCGGGCCCGACGCCGCACGCAGACCGGCCCATCCTGATCGGGACCGCGAATTCAGACAGCGTGGTCCGCCTTGCCTGATGCCAGTGCCCCCGCCCACGGTTTCCCACGCGCCAGGGAGGACGGCAAAGTAACCGTTAACTCTGGCGACTCAGGGTGTGGCGGTCTAAAGGACCGAGGGAAGCTTTTGCGTTTACCATTCTGTGTCCTGACGTTCTCGCCGGTGCCTCGCTCCCCAAAGACCGCCAAAGGCCCCTCAAGCGCCATTTTCCCGGACAAAGAGACCGAGGCGGCAACGCGCGCGCTCCTGTAGGCACTGCGGACGGCGATGCAAGGCCTTCTGGGTAACTCCGCCTCTCAGGACCGAGCCTATCGGTGAATTCAACGCAGAGAATCGGCTGCACGTTAGTGTCGTAAAATGCACGTGACATAAAGAAAAGGAAGCGAACTCCGCTGCTCGGCATAAGCTTTTTAGGTAGTGGCCCGTTGGGCCTTTGAAGGCGATTGGTGGTTAGCTAACAAATGACCCGCCCTTCTTTCGCGGAACGACCAGTGAAAGTCGACGGGTGGGTCAATGTGTTCTAGAAGATTCTAGTGAGGGTGAGAATAGTCACTCCCTTTAAATACAATTAAGTGCTGCTGCCAGCTTGTGGGTCTGCCATTTAAAAAGCAAAAAAGGTATAAAAAGAATGGTCATTTGTCTTTGTTATTCCTTGTAATAGCTGATCCAACAAGACAAAGGTATTTTTCCCATCGTACAAACGCTTTTTGAACACTGAAATCGGAGAATCTCGATTTCTCCGTTGGCACATAAAAATGCGCAATCACGTGGTCTTTCTCCAAATCCAGCTTGCACGATTTGCACGATTAAAAAAAAATTGCGCCGGATATGAAGCAAGTGTTTCCTTTGAATCTCAAACCCACAGAGATAGAAAAAAGGAAAAGCAGCATCCCAACAGTTACATATGCAATTGCAGGGTGCTATTTAGGGATTCCGAAGGGTCTGTTAGTTTGGTTTTTCGACGTTTGCAATTGCGGCCGGCACGGTTATTCTTGGGGAAGTGGTAAGATCGTATAGCAGTGTTGTCCAAACTTGGCCACTTTAAGATGAGTGGACTTCAACTCCCAGTTGAGCATGCTGGCTGGGGAATTCTGGGAGTTGAAGTCCACTCATCTTAAAGTGGCCAAGTTTGGACAACACTGTCGTATAGGTTTGACTGAGAGACAGTTGGTGTCTCCCACCAGGACTAGAGAGCCAGCTCTTTCTGACTCAAATTTTCTCCCCGATTGAGATGATAGTGGATGAGTTTCTAATACTATATTGAAAAGAAAGTAGTGCTAAGTCATCTCATCAGACCCACCCTCTTAATATTGTAAATTAAGGGAGATGAAGTTGAAATTCTGTTAGCAAAATTTGAGAGTTTCTGACTCTCCCCAATTAGGATTCAGTCCGGCAGAAGATCAAACACGAAAGTACCAGCTGAGATTTTAAAGTTTTATTGAAAGTAACTTATTGAAAGTAAGCCAATTGAGTCAGCTGGGGTCTCCCCTTAAGGCAA